TCCCCTCCCGTCCCTGTCGCCGGGCCGGGCCGAAACCCCGCTGTACCGACTTTACCGCGGCCGGCTCAGCAGCCCAGTGCAGTGTCAGTCGAGCACCCGCGACGAGCGGAACCGATCGTAGCAGCATACCTAAAAGGTCAGCTGGGTACCCGATGGGGTACCGGGCCGGGCGTGGCGTGTCGGTGGTCGTGCTCCCGGTCGCCACCCTCCTGTTGCTGATCGCCCCGCTCCATCCCCGGCATCGACTGACGGCTTCCTGGTGTTTGTGTGTTGTAGATGGCGTCTCACGGCGTGCTGGAGAACTCCCCCAATGCGGCCATCAACAAGGCCGTCATCGGGCGGCTCATGGAGCTGCCCCTGCCGCCCAACAAGGTGCTGGCCACCTACGTCTGGATCGACGGCACCGGCGAGAACCTGCGTGCCAAGAGCCGGACCCTGGACTTCATCCCCAAGGCGGTGAGCGGTAAGTTGAGAGGGACTTCCCCGGGGGTCGCCGCGGCGCTGCCGCCCTCCTGCCCGGCTGATAACGCTCGCTGGGCGCCGTGGAGCTGGCGCGTCCTCGCTCTACTTTCGCCCCGTCCTTCCACTATCGCGCCTCCCGTTTTTGACTTTTTAAAGAGGTCCGTCCCTTCCCGTACAGTAGGCTTGGCGCTGCTGGCTTTTACACTCAACCCCGCGCTGCGCGTGCAGGAAAGAGGACCCCCTGTTTTATAGCTTTGACCCGGGGGCGGGGCCGCGCAGCGCGCGCAGCACCCCGCCGAGGCCAGGCCGCGACACGAGAGACGCCCGCCCTCTCCAGGGGCCGCGGGGGTTGGGGACGGGGAGGGTGTGACATGCTCATCTGACGTAACTGCTGCCGGGCTGCGGGCGCAGGGCCCGTGACCTTGTGTTGTGCGGCGTGGGTGGGCGTGGCTTGGCTAGGGAGAAAGGAGGGTCCAGAGATGAGACGGCTTCGTCGCGTGGCCTGACACTGTTCGCTTGACCTGTCCCTACAGACCTCCCCGAGTGGAACTACGATGGTAGCTCGACCTACCAGTCGGAGGGCAGCAACTCCGACACGTACCTCAGGCCCGTCGCCATGTACCGGGATCCGTTCCGTGGCGGCGAGAACAAGCTGGTGCTGTGCGACACCTACAAGTACAACAAGAAGCCCACCGGTGAGTAGCTGCGACAGCGCCCATCTCTGTTTTGAGGGGGATTTCCTGAAGATGCGCGGCGCTTCTAAACCGCCCCCTGTTTTCGCTCCGCAGAGACCAACCGTCGCGCGGCCTGCGCCGCCGCCATGGAGGCTGCCAAGGAGCACGTCCCCTGGTTCGGCATTGAGCAGGAGTACACGCTCCTCGACATGGACGGCAGACCGTTCGGCTGGCCCAAGAACGGCTTCCCCGGCCCCCAGGTGAGTGAAGCGCCTGTGTGTAGGCCGTCCCGCGGCGCGTGCGTGTGCGGCGGCGGCCTACCTCTCAGGCTGCCATGAGCGCCCGGCCCGCCCGGTCCGCCCCCGGCCCCCGACTTGTGTGCTGACGCGTGCTCTTGTCCGCAGGGCCCGTACTACTGCGGCGTGGGCGCCAACAAGGTGTACGCCCGCGACATCGTAGAGGCTCACTACCGCGCCTGCCTGTACGCCGGCATCAACATTTCCGGCGAGAACGCCGAGGTCATGCCTTCCCAGGTACGGTCGTGGTTTCTGCTGCAACTTGTTTTGACATTATGGCATGATTTTGTTTTCACCGTCGCACGCGACTATAACTAACACTTTCTTGTTTTCCCTGTAGTGGGAGTTCCAGGTCGGCCCCTGCGAGGGAATCTCGGCCGGTGACGAGCTGTGGATGGCCCGCTTCCTGCTGCACCGCGTCGCCGAGGAGTACGGCATCGTCGTGACCCTGGACCCCAAGCCCATGCCTGGCGACTGGAACGGCGCTGGCGCCCACTGCAACTTCAGCACCAAGAGCATGCGCGCCGACAACGGCATCCTGTGAGTAAAACCCGCCGGGCTCCTCTTGTTAGCCTCGCCTTCCGGTTTGCGACTTGCCTCTTCATGTCACGTGTGCTTTGCAGTGAGATCGAGAAGGCCATCGACAAGCTGTCCAAGCAACACCTGCGCCACATCCAGGCCTACGATCCCCACGGAGGCAAGGACAACGAGCGACGATTGACTGGACGCCACGAGACCTCATCCATCCACGACTTCTCCGCAGGTGCGATTGCGTGACAACGCTGTAAATAATATCAGCATGGCCTTTCAGCCAGAGGGGCGTCATCTGAAGTAACGTCGCTCTCTTTTGGATTGACAGGTGTGGCCAACCGCGGTGCTAGCGTGCGCATTCCCCGTGCTGTCGCCGAGGAGAAGAAGGGCTACCTTGAAGACCGCCGACCCTCATCCAACTGCGACCCCTACGCCGTGACCGAGGCTCTTGTCAGAACCTGTGTTCTCGAATAGATTACCACGACGTTGAGGCAACACCGGAGCAAGATATTTATCTAAATTTTATATTTTGTGTATAGCGAGGGAGAGGTGTATTGAAGTGACAGCAGAACTTATTTTTGATACGCTTTCTTGTTTTGGTATTTGGTCACATTTTGATCTGCCTAAAGTCTCATTTTTGTATGCATCTCCCCACCCCTCCCTACCAGAGTAATATCCAAAATAGGATGTGGGGAAGAGTTTGTCTTTGTGTGTTGCTCTCGAGTATTGTGCGCTTAGAAGTCAAAACCCAGATTCTAAGCAGGCTCAGATTTCTTGTGGCTAGTGTGCCAGGTTTACCACACCAGAACATATTGGAGAGCTGAGATGTGTGTGATTATGCTGTAACATTCTCATTTGTCCTCATTCGAGGCCGTGATCATATCTTTCTGTGTGCTGTTTTGAATTTACATTCAAAGATTGCTATGCTTGTTTTTGTAAATAGTGCATCAAGGGCGAAACTGTTACTACTATTATTCCAAATTTATTTGACATTTAGTTAGTCCATATTAGCGATGTGTCTTTATGTATTTTAGGAATGTATGTAGATCATACTTGTTAAATGTCAGTTATAACCTGTAACCTTCATCTTGATAACCATTTCACTCTCTTATATTTCCCAATTATGTATACTTTCATCTAGTTTGTGTAAATGCATAAATGTACGTACATGTGTATATAAATGTGATGTCTCTGTAAGATGTATCTAATGTTCCCATTCTCATTTTCATAGCTTGTTCTTGTGTTCTTAGTAACACCAATTTAAGATGCCAACAAATGATTTTGCATAATACCAAAACATATCTTGTTCAGAGCAAAGTAGGAAATATCTATCAAACTTTGAAACCAAAAAGCAGATGAGCTACTTAGACTTTAGCCACTCAGGTCCTGAGTTACCAAACTCCACCTATGTGTATGTATTGTAGTATGAAATGACAATATTAAGAGGCTACTTTCAAGACATTTGGCCTCTATGTAATGCTTTGGCCTAATATATAGGGCAAAAATGTAACATATTGCTTAACTAAAATTAAGGGAACCTCTGCCAAGTAAGGTGGCAAAAATACTAGACCTCCATTTGAGAAAAAATTGAATCACATAAACACAAATGTTTTAAATAGCTTGTCAAATTTTTGTGGAAGAAAAGAAGAAAACAAAGTGCAATAATTTTCAGAAATATATTTTAAGTT